AAATACATTTCTACAAAAAATTTATTCCTAATGAAAGTTGTTTGTTACAGAATGAATACAAAATCCGAGCACGAAATTATGAAACGATTTTGGTCCGAAATTATAACATAACATAAAATTTTACAGTCGGAAAAAATTAATAGTTACCAACTTTCTCCAAAAATGTAGGAGAAAAAGACATTCCTAGAGCAAAAATCAAGGGCGCTAATGGCGTTTTATAAAATTGCATTATGAAACCCAAATTTAAAACCCCATTTATAAACAAATAATTTTCTATTCTGTAATGTGCAAATAAAAATAAAGAAAGAATGCCACCCTTGGCAACGTTTAATTTCATGTGTTGTCATCAAAATAAGTGATCTGTATGTGGTTGTCAATGTCATTGCGAATGCGAATCAAATAACAAATACATGTGTTTATTAGCAAAGAATACCTACCCAAGAAGCGAAACTGAATGAGTTTTCGTATGTACCAAAGCAAGGGAACTTAATACACTGGGAAACGTAAAAACTATCAGTTTTTGTCGTTTGGTTCATAAGAATTAAACACATAATAAAGTAACAATGACAGAAAAATCTTACTATGTTCATTATGTCAAATATATTATTTTAATAACGAAATAAGTACTGTAGGAAACTACACAATAGCGCAAGTTGATAACGGTCATTCTGCAAATAGGGAATTTTGAGAACAATTATGGAACAGTGGTGCAAGAACCATTCACTCACTGTCTATCAATCCCAAGAAGACAGAAATAATCCTTTTCACAAGGAAATTATGAAAATGGAATTAAAACCTACAGATTTCCTAAACACAAAACAAAACTTTGCAAACATGGAACTCACAATTAGAAAACAGAGTCAAAAGAGCATACATTACTTATAAACAATGCCACCAAACCGTGGGGTGCACCTGGGGTTTCTTTCCCAGAGTCGTCACATGGACTGACATGGCCATCATACGACCTATGCTAACATACGGTGCAGTTGTCTGGGGTACCGAAAATCCAAAAATTGACAGCTATCCGCAAAATAAAACAAATACGAATAACAGCATGTTTGAACATAACAGGAACTATGAAAACCACACCAACCAGAGCCATGGAAGTCGTTCTTAGTCTCACTCCCCGTGATATTTACATCAAGGACAATGACACGCCTATGCACAGTTGGAATAGAATCTGACGTACGATCTGGTGAGGCGAGTGAGGTGAGTCGTTTTTGGCAAAAGGCGCTCGATACGCTCCAACTGCTTCAAGCGACCATGAACCTTATCTCACCGAGTTATATCTTCCATAAGCCATGTGAAGTTATAACAAAACAAATAGACGAGCCGGAAGTGGTAGGTACGATACATATCTACACAGACGGTTCTAAAACAAAACAATGCTCAGGGTGTGGAATATACTTCAATTCCTTAAACCTCAACATAAACTGCGCAATAGTGCCAATGTAGTTCACGGAGCTCACAGAGGTTCTCATAGCAGCAAAAGAAATCGCTGATAGGAACATACTCATCCATACAGATAGCAGAAAAGCACTACTTACCCTGAACAGATTATGAATTTACTCAGGGTTAGTACTAGAATGTCAGGAAGCTTTGGCAAGGGTATCCATCCAAAATGGAGCAAAGGTGACGCCACAACGAAAGGTAGCCTTTTTGGACCTGGCCCTTCTATTGGACTGACAACATCGGTAGTGACAGACCTAAATAAATAATATTCTCTTGTGAAAATTAAGGAAAGATGGGATGAAACAAGAATTTGCTGAGTTACCAGGGATATTTTAAGTTATCCTGACAACACTATAACAAACAAATACTTGACTATGATTATACAGAATCTGCGTCTGATCACAGGCATTCTGACTAGTCATTGCCAAGTACGGAAGCATCTCCATATCATGGGATTGTCAGAATTCGCACCCTGCAGGGGGTGCAAACAAAAAGATGAAACCATTGAACATATCCTCTACGATTGCCAGTCGCTCTCATTTATTAGACGATTTGTTTTCGGCGCGTATTGGCTAACACCGGCCGATATAAGAGAAGCACCTCTTGGCGATGTTGTCAACTACATCAAATGTGTAGGCTGGCTCATGAGATAAGAGGATACACAATGGGCATAGTGAGGCCTAAGTGCCGTGTGGCAACCCACCCTCTACACGTTACATATCCAAAAGTACTGTAGGTAGCTGTAAATGCATTTCGATTGCATCCTGATAGCAGCGACTTGGTTTCTCGAAGTGAGTTTGTCATATCTTTTAATTATTGTTTTGTATTATTGTTTATTTACTGTTTTAATTTGAATGGTTTGAAAAACAAACAAAAATAACATATTTAAATAAAAGAGTAAGAAATTAAACGATACATAATACGTAGGCGTAAATTATCATTATAGGTAATACTGATTTAGAAATTAAAACAAAACATTGACAGCCAGATGCAAGAACATTCAATAAAATTTACGAATAACGCAATGTATTTTTTTTTCTTTCTTGTAATTTAAATTTTAAAACTATCTAATTTCTAATTACTACTTAGTTAAATACAACTACTTAACTATACTGCAATTTTTACAAAACGCTAATAATAATATACCAAACGTTGCTCTGGTTGCTCTACATAAATTGACAGCTATATTTGACGTTAAACCACCTCTAAAACACTGAGAAAACTTGGCAGTTTTTTGTCCACGAATCGCCCATTTAGTTTCGCTTCTTGGGTAGGTATTCTTTTTTATTAGTAAATTAGGCATTCCAAACAAATGAAACGCGGTTCTAAGGTTTGGTATGTCTAAAGGGTTGCGACATACAATACGTGAAAGCAAAATTAATGAATTTTAAATATTTTATGTCAAACACAATGAAATTATTATATTTATAGAAACTGTTTATGCATTTTCTATAAATTGGCAGGCTTGGCGATTACTATTTTAAATAGAAATAGCGTCCAAGATGGAAGGCTATGTCGCAAACCCCTTAGATTTATGAACCCTTCCCTCTGGCAACTATTGTATGACAGGTCGTTGGAATATCTAATTGTGCGAGAATAATCACTGTGACTTTAATAAATCAACAAAGATGTTGTTTTTATTATGGATCGAGTACAAATAACAAAACAGCTAAAGATTGGTTGGATTACGTCACATTTTGTGTTGTACAAGTCTTAAACTTGTACGATTATATATATTGAGCGTTTAGGGGCCGCATAATTAGGTTATCATTGGACGAAGACCGTTCAATACAATATCTCTTAAATTTCCAAAATAAAATCTAAAACAAATAATATATTTACCTACATATATTTATACGCTTTTCTATTTATGAATGTGTGAAGGCATAGAATAAAGTGTTCATAAAAAGTAATTATAAACAAAATAACCTCAAAAAACTAAAAACCGTGTTAAACTTATTAAAGAAAAACCGGTTATTTATATACAAATCTAATTATGTCAGTCATCAACGGCGGAAAATGCTACGTCTAGATGTTCTTATCCGAGAATTGGTAGACTATGCAACCACAAATGCACAGAAATGTATTTCAGGCTGCCAAACAATTTCTTTAAAGGGGGGGATTATGGCGAAGACGTAAGGGACGTGGATTTCGAGGTTATGTATGAAATTGACTGAGCTGATGGGTATAGAACCCTCTTAAAATTTATATTAAGTTTCAAAATTTTAGTATTCTAATTGTTAAAAAGTTTTTTTTTTTCTATAAAATAATTTTACTGAACCTAATTCATAATTACTTTTGTTTAACAGTTAATCAAATAATATCTAAGACGTATTTTTTTATTAGAGCTTTCTAAAAATATTAGCGCACAAAAACAAGTTTTCTGATTAAACATAATTTTTAAGACATAAAAAAAGTCATCAGTATTTGTTTAATAAAATAAAAGTCACAATTTTATATATTTGCAGCTTTAAGTTATAATATCTTCAGATTTCTATAAAAAATAAATTAAAACTTTTTTGCAGAGCGTTCAATTTCCTACCAAAATAATTTTTCATCAGTTCATTTTTACAATGCTCAAATATCAAGCTACAAAAATAAGAAAAATTTGTTTGCCATGTTATATAGAAGGAAAATGGAAAGTTAGGAACAGGCACCACTAAATGATAATATTAAGAGCTCAAATTTGTAGAGGCTTCTTTTTTCACCTTCCTGAAAGTTTTTATCCTGTTTTTTAGTTAAAAAAAAAAAAAAAAATTGCTCAAAAATGACACACCCTAATGGTCAGTATTCCTCTCTAGGCATTTTTGCATTTCGTCACACCACTCGCCAAAGCTAACAGACCAAGCTTCTTTTTAAATTTCATTGTATCACACTTATAATTATTATAAAGGCGCATATCTCTAGGTAAAGGGTTAAAATAATCGTAGTGTGTTCTATGCTGTGGAAGCTCAAACAAATCTAATTACGCGTTAACCTAGCTGGTACACGAAATGGCAAAGACGATATAATATATTGTTACAATTTATTTTACCCGATAACGCTTTATGAAAAAACGAAAGATCATTATAATACATGTTATAAATAAAAATTCTAGGTTTAAAAGTTTTACAATTGTTTCGACCAAGCTTCTTTTTAAATTTCACTTATCATTTCAAAATATGTGGCTACATTAGAAAATCGATGCGCCAAAAATTTTCATTGACTATAGGGTATATAAAAAGTACAAGGGTACAAAAAAAGTAAGTAAGGTAAGGTGATAATTTACTGCCTTGTGTGGTCAAAAAGTCGACTGTTGTGACAAAGGTGTGGAAAAGTGTTCTTATTGCCATTCAATTTTGCGATATCCGGTAGTTAAACGCTTCTGCTACATACAATATTGATTCCTATACTTTCCTTACCTGTATACCGACAAGACAGTAAAAATAAACATGAACATGCTTTTGCGTCTAAATTTGGCCAGTAGTTATTAAAAAAAAAAATTTTATTAGCAATATTTATTTCACTTTCTTATTGAGCTAATTTTTGTGTCATCTTTTTTGTTTTAGAGGATAAGTCATATGAATCACCTACTAATCACAACTGGGGGAATACATCTACTATTCAAAAATCTTTCAAGAAAAGGAGTCCTTCACCTCCGGTTGTTGGCATGCCTTCTAAGAGAAACAAGGGCAATGCTCAGACTAATCCAAGAAAAGCCCAAATGCCGGCACAACCTCAAAACCAAGAACCTGCTTATACTGTGCAAGCAAAGCAGCAAATTGCTTCGTCACTGAACCAAGCTAATAACTCTCAGGTAATAATAATGAATTAGATCTGTATGAACTAAATGGTGCTTAGAAAGGAATAAATTCATTCCTTCGTAAATCAGTAACCGTGGAGGAAAATCCCGAAACCCACCATTTTTTATAATAAAACACGAATTCCGTGAGATATTTATCCATAACATTATCTGTATGAGCGTGTTGACATCATCCTACTATATTTTAAACAGAAATGTAGGTAATGCTGTATTTCGTTTGAAATGTATTTAAATTATCCAACCATATTAGTAATACCCAAATATCAACGATATCTCAAAGTGGTTCTAAGTAGATTAACAAATAAAGAAATACAAAGTCTGCCAACTACTGATTCTAATATAAATTTTCAGTTTTTCGCTAGCGTTTTCGACTATAAATAATTATCATCAGTTATAAAATGTAACAATGTAGTTAATCATTAAATTTGGAAGAAATTTGTGACTTGGTTTGAAAAATAGTTATTTACGTAACAAGTCCCGAAAGTGATCACTTTTGGGTAGCGTTACGTACAATATTTTTTCTGCAGCCGTTTATTAGATAAAATATTAAAAAATAATAGGGATAGATACTATAAATATTACTTATGAACATTAAATGTACAATTATAACAATTACTTATATTAATAGTATTAGGAATATTAGCAGAAATGGCTGTGTTGAAATTAGTATTAGACGTTGCAGTACTTGTACTAGCTTTCGAGATATTAATTTTTATCATCTTGCCATTTTTGGAATAAATTATAGACCATTTCATACCTCTCTCTTGACTTTACTGGCAACAATTCATAAGTAGCGACTTTAGCAGCTTCACTGATTTCATGTGGAATAATCATTTCCTCGTCACTTTCGTTGTCGATTTCCATTTCTGGATCGGAAAATTGAAAATACTGGAGTGCGTTTAGAAACCACGCACAGCGCGTCTGGACCCTATTCTAATGTATGCGGTCAGACGCGCCGTGCGAGGTTTCTAAACGCACTCCAGTGGAACTATCAACAAATTTATTTTGACAAGCGATGTCATAATAAAAATTCCGTAAATGTCATTGCTAAGGCTGCCTACATAGATATTAAAAAATTATTCCGAAAGTAAAAAAATCGTCCCGAAAGTAAAAAAAAATCATTCCGAAAATAGCTACTTTCGGTACGATTTGGGTAAAGTTTCACTTTCGATTTAATAAATCATACCGAAAGTTCTATTTTCGGGACGGCTGCAGAAAAAATTATTAATATAATAATTCATCCTGCATGTCTTTGGTAATTATATTATATATTTTTTTTAATAATTTTGTCAAACTAAGTCACATGGATTTCTTTATATTCTAATGATTAACTACATTGTTACATTATGTCTGATGATGTCCCCAACAGGACCGAAAACGCTTGTGAATATCATTTTTTGAAAAATTCTATTTAAATTAGTTGTTGACTGACTTTGTGTACTGTCGGAATTTTACATTTTCTATAATTATATTTCATACATTATAAATTAAAATACATTAACAGCCGGTTGCAAGAACGATCGTTAAATATTTATAGACTCATTAGCACTAATGATCCACTAAAAATGCATTCCGATCCTCTATAGCTATTGAACGTCGTAAATCTGGCAACGCGGTGCATTTTTCGCGATATGACCAATGATATATATCGTTATAAAGAGTCACGATATTATGTCAGGTGTTTTAAACACAAATTTTTTCATGTTCTAATGTTGAGTATCCACATCGTCAAATAATATTAAGAGATTTAAACAATTTTATAACAGGAAAACAGTAGTCCTTGTCCATCGCGACCTTTTCAGATCTATTGTGGGACTCCGTTTGTTTTAAAGTATGTCGTCTAGCCTGGTCTTTTTTATTAGACTTAGTAGCTTTGACAGTGGCTCCCGCATGTAGTTGCATGCAATTGGCTTTTGTTCACCCAATGTTAGAAACCTCATTCCAGCCAGGCCTTCACATTGGCACAGGACGTGGAATGATGTTTCCTCTTCTTCTTCTTCACAGAACCTGCACAAAGTTGCTTCTTCTGCTGGATTTATGACACTCATGTGCCTTTTGAGGCGACAGTGTCCAGTAAGAAGGCCTACTGTTATCCTAACGATTTGACGCTTTTGATCCAGTAGGTCTTTCGTGAACTTGGCCGATGGTTCCTTCATGAACTGTTTGGCCTGTCTCAGTCTTGGATAGTTGTTCCACCATTCCTGAGACTCTTTTTGCATCCATTGTTTAATGGATACCTTGCACAATGCTTTAGTAACTCTACCGAAGGGTTCGGGGCCTGTCATGGCCTTATCTGAGCCTTCTCGGGCTAATTCGTCGGCCTTTTCGTTGCCCTGATATCCCTCATGGCCTGGAACCCAGCTAAGGTCACCTTATTTTGACTACTTAGCTCTGTCAGGTCTTCTAGACAGTCTCACCAGTCGTGATTTGATTTCTGGTGAGAGAATTGCCTTTAGAGCTGTTTGGCTATCAGAGTATATGGCAATAGTTTTGCCTGATACTTGTTGATTTAATATTTCTCTTGCACAGTGTTGTATGGCTATTAGCTCAGCCTGGAACACTGTTGCATATTTTCCTAAACTCAGCGAAATCGTTGATTTCGACTTGGATCTATAGATTCCAGCACCGGCTCCTTCCTTGGTTTTTGAACCATCTGTATACCAGACGAGTTCAGCCTGTACGGGAGGTCCCTGTTTCCAGGATTCTCGGGCTGGTATTTGAATTTGAAAGTTTCTCTCAAATTTGTATGTGGTTATGGCTGTATCAGTAGGCATAGCTAGAATATTATCCCTTTTTACTTGCTGATATAGCCTTGTGTGGTCGGCGCTATGTAGTTGGCTTATTGGGTTTTGTCCCTGCATTAGCCTGTGAATAGCTGATCTGGTTTCTCCTTGTATGAAGATGTGTAGTGGCGTGAGATTTAATAATACCTCCATAGCTGCGGTCGGCGTAGTGCGCATGGCCCCAGTAGCACTTAGACAGGCAAACCGCTGAATGCTAGTGAGTTGGCCTATTGCACTTGCCCGCGCAGTTTTGGTTACCCACACCACTGCGCCATAGGTTATCATGGGTCTTATTACCCTTGTGTATAACCATATGGTCATTTTGGGGTTTAGACCCCAGTTTTTCCCACATATTCTTCTACAGCTTACGAGACCTATTGTAGCTTTATGTGTGAGTTTTTTGAGATGTTGATTCCACGTCAGCCTTTGGTCAAATATGACTCCGAGGTATTTGTCTTCTGTGACGAATGGGATAACTGTGTTGTTTAGTACTAGTGGTCTTAGACCTGTAAGTACCCGTTTTTGTGTGAATGGTACAACTGTTGTTTTTTGTGCGTTAATGGATAATTGTTCCTTTTTGTACCAGTTCACTATGTTTGGAGCTGTTTGAGATCGCTCCGAAACTGTACCTGCAAATCGCCCCTTGACGATAATTTCTAGGTCGTCTGCGTATCCTAGGCACTGGTAGCCTTCTTTGGATAATATTTTGAGTAAGTCGTCCACAAGAACTGACCACAGCATTGGAGATAATATTCCTCCTTGTGGGCAGCCCCGTGTAACTTTTGCCTGTATGGTTGCCTTTCCTAGAGTGGATAAAATAATCCTATTCTCTAGACAGGCAGTGATCCATTGGCATATTGTTACTGGGACGTTTCTCTTTTCTAGAGCCTTGGTTATTGACCTGGTTGAGGCATTGTTGAAAGCTCCTTCAATATCTAAGAAAGTGGCTATTGCGATTTCTTTGTCATCTATTGACTTTGAAAGCAGCCTGTTTAGATCGTCCAGCGCTAGGTCAGTTGACTTTCCTGGCTGGTATGCCTATTGGTTGGGATGGAGCGGATTTATTTTTAGTATATCGTCCCTGATATACCTATCTATCAATCTTTCTAGAGTTTTAAGTAGAAAGGAGGGTAGGCTTATGGGGAGATATGACTTTGGCGTTTGGTCTGTGACCCTACCTACTTTGGCAAGGTAGACTACTTTCGCCTTTTGCCATATTGCTGGGATATATCTCCAGGCAATACATGCTCTGAAGATTTTGCAGGAAAACAGTAACAACGCCTACAAAACACACATAAAATCATAAACTGGGACATATTGTGAATATCTGAGCCATAAAACATTAAAAAACACTGATTAATATAATAAAAATTTATTATCAATTATACAGAATAAAGTTTTTTGATTACTAAGCAAAATTAATTTTATAAATTGCTGCCATCTTATAAAAAGGACCACATGATATTTTTTTGTCAAAATGGACATTCTAATTTCATAGCAACATCCTACATTAGTTTTAATTAACAATATAAACTATCTGTATCTGTAAGGTGGGAAAAATGGTTACTTCCACAGCACTTAGGCCATTGTGTATCCTCCAGGGGTATATAAAACCTGCCTCTGAGAGATGTCTAGAGACAGCTGCATTTTCACAGCTCATCAAAGCCCTGCAGGTTATCAACCCGCCAAAAACCTGCTGGTTGACGCTGAGGGGTGTCTACAAACAGCCATCTTCTCAACTAATCAAAGTCCTGCAGAAAGAAAACCTGCTGGTTGACGTTGAGGGGTGTCTGCAGATTACAGACATCCATCTTCTCAGATAATCAAAGTCCTGTAGATTGTTAACATCGCCGAGAAGTGGCCATTTGGTGGGCTTCTACTAGCCCAATGGTAAATGCCCGGGTTAATTATAACTATAAAATGTACATTTAAATCTGTAAAAATCTTAATGACTAGAAAACGCTATACACAGCTGGGCAGTACAAGTATACCCAAAATTGTACTTAAGTACTCAAAGTACTCTCTAAAATTTGCGAAAGCACTTACTTGTTTTAAGTATTGTTCACATGAGTGAGTATTCATACTCAGATACTTATTATGAGTATTTTGCTAAGCTATTCATTGTGAATTACTCATGAGTGCTTTAATGCAATACTCTTCCAATGTTTACAATTTATAACTGAGTACTCCAAATTGAGAGAAAACATTACA